AACATTTGTTGTTCAGTTTTCGAAATCATGAAACGAAGGGAAAATATTCTACATGTTCATTTTTTCTTAGTACTTTAAACATAAACAACACAATATAAGCAAATAGGCACATTTAACATCGTTTAACAAACACACACATACCTATAACATACATATAGTAAAATAATATATAGCACAATACTTGAATTACATTGGAATTAGTTTTATCATTTCCTACAGAAATGAATATATTCTAGAACACTTTTTTGTATACTTGTTCAATATTTTCTAAGAACTGTTAGACACTTATTTATCTTTTTATTTCTTTTGCTTTTTGTCTTTTCTTTTTTCACAGACAGAAAAAAATATCAACATAGAAGCATAGTTACAAATGTAAATCCTTACATAAACCTAAAGTTATATATATTACAAGACTTGATATTATTTAAATTTATTTTATCATTTCGAACAAACAGGGATGAATATTCTACAACAATAGTTATTTATACCTTTTCCATCTTTTCAACTAAATGTAATACTTTTTTCAGTCTTCATAGACATACACAGCACAATACCACCATATAGACACATATAGCATAACATAGTTATACCAACAAAAAAAGGAACTACATTTTCATATCTATAACACATAAAGTCATTTATCGGTTTATTTATTTTTCGTTATTACTTTTTATTGATCTTTATTTGTTCTTATTTTTTAAAATGTACGTCCATCATTTAAAGTTATATATAGCAGAATACTTTTACAGCATTTCAAACAGCGATGAAAATATTTTACAACATTTTATATATAAAACTGTTTCATATTTACAAAGGAATTTATGACACATATTATTTTTATTTTTATTAATAAAAAAACATTCTTCATTTTCATAGATTTACACAGCACAATGCCGACATACCGACACATTTAAGATTTTTTTTCCATATCTCTTTTTATAATTTTCATAGACAGAAAAAACTCCAGTAAACTCCAAAAGCACGAGAGAACAAATTAACATTTCTTGTAAATATGGAATAAGTTTATATAAAAATTATTGTAATATAATTTCACCTCTGTTTGTTCGAAATTATCAAACTTATTGCAAAGCTATCAAAGTATCGTACTATATAACACTTTGATAGGTATGTATTTATTTGTTTAACTATGTTAAATGTGTCAATATGTTGGTAGTGTCCTGTGTATTTCTATGAAAATGAAAAAAAACATTAAAGGAAAATAAGCTCCTTTCATTTCTATGTGCAAAAATGGTATGAATTATGCATAACAAATGTTTATAAAAACGAAACCCAAATAATTGGGAATATGAAAAAATAAACAAATGTCTCTAATATCTTTGTCATGTAGAAAGGCGTATACAAAAACTGTTGTAGAATATTTTCATCTCTGTTTGTTAAAACGATAAAATAGCATAGCTAATTCATATGCTATCAAACCTTGTGGTATAAATATGTATCACTGGTACAGATATTTAGTACAATCTGTCTATATGTTGATATTGTATTATTTATGTGTATGAACATGAAACATAAATAGATAAATGAGTGTCGAACATTTTTTAGCAGATGTTGAATAGGTATATATTAAAACTGTTTTAAAAATATTTTCCTATCTGTAAGAAACGATAAAATGTATTTCAATGCTATCAAATTATTGACCTTTCTATCACTGAATTAGATGTACAGGTATGAACATTTGTATGTAGGTACGTGTGTGTGTTTGTATAACAATGTAAAATATGTTTATATACTGAAATTGTGTCGTTTATGTTTGTGAAAATAAAACCAAATGTGAAATAGTAATAAAAAAACAAATTATAACTAACATTTCTTTGTAAATATGGAACAGGTATATATAAATAAAAACTGTTAAAGAATATTTTCATCTCTGTTAGAAATGACAAAACTAATTTCAATTTTAAGACAAATTAATAAGATCGCTTCATGATCTTGGTGCCAGATTTTCCAGCTGCAAGCTTTCAATGCCTACCATGCCTTAGATCTTAATTGAACTACATACTTTACTGAATTGGCGGGAGACAACACGACGTCATGACGTCATTTCAAATTGTTTTGGCGTCTGCTTTATTGATATTGCCATTTCCTACTGACGTTCACTGCAGATTTTTTTTTATAACGAGAACGCGATTGTTTTCTAATTTAAATTTACTGACCAAACAACTCGACAAGTATAATATGGAAATGGTTTGAAGGAACCACTCGCATTATCACTAAATTTTCACAATGACATTCAAGCAAAAATGATGAAAATGGTTTGTTGATATTATATATGTAGACTCCCTGAAAAAACAATTTCACACCAGAGGAAATAGTTTTTACGGTATAAGAGAACAAACCTAAAGATACATATCAGCATTTTGGTAAACGTGTTTCGTGTCGTCTTTGGCAACAGGCAAAGAAGATCAGCAATTTTAGTTATAATGACAAATACAACTACTTAAGACGACATATGTACATTTGTATATGCCATAAACTGTGTTCTGCTGTAACAGTATATCAGTTGTTCACAGTCTTCTACTAAATGGACGCCATAATTGAACGGGCATGTCGTCCACATCGACGGAAAATCAGAACTAGAATAAAACTTATGATAATTTATTTCCAATTCTTTTAATTCGTACCAGTTGGTCGTTGATGTTTTAACCTATATCCGAGCGTGATGGGGCCCAGAACGAGTTGCTACACTTACGAAAATTATTTCATGAGTACGTTTCCTCTTCTTACGAAATGTTTGATTTTGTTAAGAGTACTTACCAAACGTTGTTATGAATAAAGTTTGTATAGAGAAAATCAGAAACTGTTTCAGCGTATGTCACCCATTAGTTTTGTTTGTATGTGTTTTACGTCCTATTAACAGCTATGGTCATTTAAGAACTTGCCAGTTTTGTTGGTGGAGGAAAGCCGGAGTTCCCGCGGAAAAACCACCGACTGTTCCGTGTAGGTCTCGAACCCGCGACCCATTGGTGGAGGGCTAGTGGTAGCAGAATGTCAAACATCTTAATCACTTGGCCACCGTGGCCCCCACCTATTAGAAAGCAACTGACAATAAATGAAGTTAACAAACGTTAAGTTTTTCATCACAAAACATTGTGACTCACCGAATATATGTCTAGAGACTTGATTGAGGTTCCTGATCTAGACTATCTAGTCCTCACGGCCTGTCATGGCAGGACAAAATTCCAAGTTTTCCAAAAGTGGGTAATATTACTTGTTGCATTATCTCTTCTTTTCCAGGACAACATTAACTGTAGTTTCACATCTTTTCATGATCATTTTATTCATGTTACATTTCTGTAGACAACGTAACGAGCCGTGTTACTTCCTGCTGTAGGTATGATTTTTGAACCTTGGATCTACAAGATTTTATTAACTTTTCATAAAGGATTTGTTTAATAACAGCTGTATGAATATTCAAAACTCAGTTTTAATTAGATCTATTATAACTATAGATCTAATTAAAACTGAGTTTTGAATATTCATACATGAAATATGTCGGGGCCTAAAGTCATCACACGTACAATATCTATGGTTTATTCAAGTCACACATTTTTCACACTGATTGTCTACATTTACATTCACTTTTCATCCTGTACAAATTCTCTCCTTCTTTATCATATAACAGTGCCTAGGATACTAATGTTACATAAAAAAAGCACGCACACACAGAAATAATATTTTATTTTTCAAACTGGAAACACATTTTTGAATATAAGTCTCTCAACATAGGAGTGAATTATTACATCACATTATCCATTTATTGCCCTGGTAGTTGGGAAATATGAAAGTCTGTCACATAAAAAAGTAGGTAGATATGAAAATTGGTCTTCTGAATTGAATCATATTTCTCAAATATACAACAAATTATATAGCGCCATATCTAGCTAGCATAGGCCACTCTAAAGCGCTTTACAGTACATAGATATACAATTTTATATAGTCAATACAATTAGCATATATATTAAACTATATAATATTGAGGAATTAGCATGAGCTGCCTTATCAGGCGCTAACTACTAGCCTTTACCACCTGGCTAATATCTGTGTATGCCTGTGTGTGTGCTGGAGATGTATTGTGTTCTGTTTGTAGAGGGACCGTGCTTCCAACGGAATCATTTATAGTGTCACCTCACCTGGATGCAACAGCACAGATACCGCAACACCCACCCCACTTTGTCTGAATATTCCATGTGTACGGTGACTTCGGGGATCGAACCCCGGCCACCTGCTTGGAAGGCAAGAGTGTTAACCACTCGACCAATCCGCCCATGGGGTTAGATTCACTAGCCTTCATATATATATTTCCCGTAGGGAAAATAATTCACCTCAGGAAAACAAAATAACGTCTCCCTCCCAGCAAGGCATAGGGTTATCATTATACCTAGGTAACATCATAAGTTTGTATATGTTGAAGAAGGGACATTTCTGCATAACACAATGTGAAAGTCCGAAGAGAGACACTAGAGACACAGGGAGATATGTGATGTTTTGTCTTCTGGCCATATGAGTATTAAACTAATCAGTCACACTATGAGAAATATGAGCCATTTTTGTACCATCATTTCACCTATTGTTAAAGTCTGTGGCAAATGATATGAGAGATAAGCAAAATTTTCTATCCAGAATTATCGTTCCTAACCCTCATTAACTGTGAGCGTGTGTAAGGGTCTGGGTAGATATTGAAATAAACATACTACGTTTAATGGAAAATTATCGTCATCATAACTGGATAATGCTTTCAAGCATGACCGCCTAGATATGGAAAAAAAGCTGTGCAGAAATCTAAAACACTTACTCACTATTCACAAACGAGTTTTAATCATGGACATACGAATCGTATTTGAACAATAATTTACTTTCTACGTAGCCATTATTTTACCATTTGCGCATAATGCATCCATGCTGCGATATATTTTAATTTAAAACGTTCAAACGCCAAAAATATGTATCTTTCAATAAATCAACATTCACATTGTCTCGCATTATATCCTACAATCGAACAGACTCAGATATACAAGAACCATATACGTGTACTGCCATTATATACCCATCATTTCGTAGTGTCTTTTATAAGTTACAGTCTAATAATCACAGAATCGAATCTCGCATTTCTCTCTTTCTGCTGTACTTTTTACCGATGAACATATCTGGCATAGAAGGCTGCCTGCAAGCCCCATATCTAAATAGAGAAATGAAATAAAAATAAGAATACATACATTTAGTCACACAATCACCGCAAAGAAAATAAATATTTGCCTTTAGGCCATTTATAATCAAGCAATTCACACACTTTAAAATTCCATCTTAAACTGAACACAATTTGTTATACGATTCAAAAGAAGTATTCACATTAAAATTTCATTAAAGTTGTATGTTATATTTTGAAGTGCAATTACCAACAGGGTCAGCGCCTTCTTCCTTCATTTCGTACTCTTCAACAGAAAGAGACAGGTTCCAGTCTATTTCAGAGTCCTTCTTGTTAAATGATTCATGTTGCATAGGTTTCTCTGTTGTCGGTTGTATATCTTTGTCACTTTTCAGACGTAAATTATGGTATGTCTCCAGTTGTTTAATCTGATCTGTTGTTGTTTGTACATTTTGATCCGTTTCCGGTTGTACACTATGGTCTGTCTCCAGTTGTTTACTCTGATCTGTTGTTGTTTGTACATTTTGATCCGTTTCCGGTTGTACATTATGGTCTATCTTCAGTTGTTTACTCTCGTCTGTTATCGGTTGTATATTTTGGTTCTTTTCCGGTTGTGTATCATGGTCAGTTTCCGGTTGTTGATTCTGGTCTGTTATCTGTTGATATCCCCTACGTGAAGACAATCTTTCGCACTTCCAAAGAATGAAGTCAAATTGACCTATCGGATGATAAACGAAACATGTCAAACAACTTTGTATGGGGAGGACATTATAATGGTTTTTTTTGCATTCTTTTCCAAATCCTACGTTTCCATAAATTGTATCTTGGCTGACAGTTAATTATTCGTTTTATCAAGGTTTACAATGTTGCATGCTTAACTGATAATGAAGCGTAAGGTTTGTAGTGAAAATTAGTTTTACGGAAAAAATATTAATGTTTAGCATCAAATATAAAGCAAATGCTGAATGACTATAATATGACTGTATCTAGACAAATATGCAATAGTGCTTGAACCGATATTAACAACTGATGCTTAAGCTGACACGTGGACACGTATAAATCCCTCAAATTGAATCACCTTTAATGCTACACCTGTGAAAAAGGGAGGATTAAGTAGTGTATGATGGTGTCGGTAAACCAACGTTAAAGATGTCATGCTTATGCTAATGAAAGACAGTGTAGCTCATTTTTTACGTTAACAATGTTAACATTGTCAAATTAAAGCATATACAAAGACCTGGTTACAAAAGAAGACAGGGATAGAATCAGTTTACAATGTACTTACACATCACATAAAGTTGGGGAAGGTCGTCATCGTCAACTCCATCGAAAGAATTTCTCACCAAGTTATGCAATGGTGAAAATAAAGATTCCTTTTGTCTCTCCGTCCGGTGTTGTTGGTCATCATCATCACCAGGAGAAATATCCGATATCAAAACAGTTTGAATGCGACTTTGCACTCCATCAATACGTCGACATGTGACTAATGATAATACTAGATAAATAACAAAACCCATAGCTTTAAACATAGTCCCCATTCCTCTAGCCAATGTCTCGCCTTCAAGTCAGTATGTCTTTAACTTAGCGATGGAAGTATTTATAAGTACAACTGAGCCTGCAGCATATAACATGTGATGGGTTTTTCTTTGTAAATTTCCAACACATGAATAGTGAAAACATTTAAAAAGTAATATTCTCTTCATAGTTGAACTACATAACCGGACTAAATGTAATTTAGAATGAGATATGATTACTGCGTTCCGTCACAGATTCATTTGTGTAAAACATGAAACAGGTCTGTAAGGTTAAGGAAACTAGGGTTCTAGGTGCATACACGTGCGATTTGCCCTGTTATTGTAAATAGACATAGAATGTGCCACTACCTGTCAGAGTCGTGTGAACAAACAGCTGCACCAAAGCCCTGACAACATTCCTCACAATATCAAAATGTCGCATATTTTGTTTTAAATTCCGTGTTGTATATTCTAACCCACTTCTTCTTGTGCAGATAAGTAATGCTTCAACACCAGCATATAACGACACAAACTACCTTCCTCTGCTAACTAGTAAGTCTTTGGGTACATCAGTTCACTCACGTGTAGTGAGCAAGCTTTGAGAAATAAACAATAGTGTTGTTATCATCTATGCACCTCTCCACAGATTTAAATCTATAATAAGTTCATGTGTTTATAATTGGTAAATTACATAATCATTAGAATTCTGATCGCTTAACCTAAATACTTAGAAGATCCGATCGTTTTCATTTTATTTTGAAATGTTCGATTTTTGTATCTTGAAATGTTAGATATTTTATTTAGAAATTTTACAGTATTTGACCAAAAACGCTATCAATCAGTTTCTTGAGCTACGGTTTCCGTGTTGATATTTTTGGTAAAGATGCGTTTATACATTTCAAAAGTGTAAGGTTTACATATTTTTGATAACTTTACACTCCAACTTTATACGGTTGTTATGATTTTAAACTGTTTAAAATGTGTGGACTTTTTTAACAGAGGTTAGAAATCAGTTTAATTCTCTACTGAGTCGTTTATTCTTATAAATAAAACTTAAAAAACGATTATAGCAATTATATACTTAATGGGGGTATTGATGGCAGTTACATACTCTCTACACATAACATCAAAAGTCTAGTTGGTAGTATATACCGAGCTTATGACCATAGAATAATCCTTTATAAATTTGAGCTTAACTTCTTGTTAGATCTTGAATTATGAAATAGGTTTTACCAACTATTAGAAAAAAGAGTAATAACAAGTTTTTTATTAAGCACATGCAAAAACTATTTGAATGACAATACGTTAATTAATGTAATTAACGTCTTATTGTTAAAATGCATTTTCAGCATTATGGAATACAAATGTGAGAATCTGTCGTGTTATTGGCTCTCACTTTTCAACACGGATGTTACAGAAGGCTGTTTCACAAGGCGGAAATTGAAGAGAACAACACGTTCGTGAGAAATTATTAATAAAGTACGCATATAATTTGCACTTAAATTTTACTGAATTCCTTTTTTAAAATCCATTTGCGTGTCATTATGTGTATTGTTATGTTAAACAGAATAACATCCTTGTCCTCCCTATACTTTATATCTAGTGGGCTATGTAAAACAGATTAACATCCTTGTCCTCCCTATAATTTATATCTAGTGGAAAGTGTTTTCTGTTTTAAGGCTTCTAATTACATGAAATGATGGCATACATGTGCAGCAGCTAATCTGTTATACACTATAGTTGGTAGTGTTACCTTTTAATTCTTTTTCGTCAAATCATTTTAATTAAAAAAAGTAAATATCACAATAAATTTGGCTAAGCCTAAACGACTAGGCATATATCAAGACATGAGGTGACAGCTAGTGCACTACGAGAACCGCACTTTTTTTTAAAGAAACGGGTAGACAGAAAGAAACGGTTTATTGCAATTGTATCTACTAACGAGACGTTGAAAAAGGTCAGCGACACAATAGTCTTATTCGACATTTCTTCTATTACAAACACGAATCAACTTTTCTGGTCAATACAGGTTTCAGTTAGGCAACGGATATTATTCAAGACCTTACAATTCCTTTAAAAAAACCCATAAAGCAAATAGAAAAATTGAAAGAATTTAACAAGAAATGCATGAACTGCATGTTATATTTTTTTTTGTAATTTTCAGTGGTAGCCAAAAGATGTTAATGTAGCGTTTTAAAGGGTTTTATTTATTTATACTGAATTACATACGGTTCGGAACACGTTAGACATAGATTTAGAACTCTTTTACCTTTTCAGTACCACTGACAACCACTAACGGATAGTGCAGTAGGATGTTGAATTCGTTAGACTATTTGTATATACAATGTACAAACAAGAAATTCAAAAATATGCGTGCTTCATTTTCGTATTTCTAATGATTATATCAAAATAATTCAAAGAAAAATATTCAAGTATGCTGCCATAAATTGGCTAGTGCTTTCCTTTTGAGAGGTCAGTCTATATGAAAAGATACCTTCGTCATTGACCATGGCCCAGGGATCATTAAATAATATTACACATAATTTGTACTTTGCCATTACGTATGACGCAACTTTCCATTAAGTTATTTGTGATTGGTTAAGTCAAAACTTAAGATTGTTTCATGATCCTGGGGCCCGATTTTCAACTACAGGAGTTTTATGTCCACAATTAGACTTAATGATCAAGCCTGATATCTAAATTGAACGACATAGTTAACTGAATTAACGGGAGACAACACGCCCGGTATCACATGTGCATAGTAAACTTACCCTTCTAAAACACCAGGCTGTGGTGGTTTATGATGTAATTTTAACGGGGTTTTTGCCCACCTTTCTTCATGTTGCCAACTCCTATTATTAATAATACTAATAATGATTCGATGTTCTTATATACCGCTTTATCACAGCCTAGTTCTAAGGTCGTCTCAAAGCGATTCACAAATTATTATCCGTGGTTATAGGGCCTTTGCAACCAGCCAATGTCATTCTCAACTCCATTGGGAGCATAAAGCCGGTGCTGCCATTTCGGCGCTCGAATCTAGCATTCAACAATTCTAGCAATGCCCAACCACGTACTCATTTACAACTGAGTAGACTGGAACAAGCGGTGTAAAGTATCTTGCTCAAGGATAAAATAAGTGCCGTGACGTGACTCGAACCCGCAACACTTCAGTCTCGAGCCCGGCGTCCTACCACTAGACTTCAGTGCCTCCATGTTAACGTTTACCACTGTTATTTTTATAATAATACCGAGCTAGAGATTGTTTTCATATTTAACTTAACTGACCAAGCTCGACGAACATGATATGGAAATGGAAGAAAGGGGGAACACTTCAATTATCAGAAGGCATGGACTAAATTTTCACACGGACTTACACACACGCAAAATCATGGTTTGTGGATATTGTATACATGTATATACAAACACAAGAAGAATCGACAAAGTGTCACACCAGAGGCAGTTGTTGGCATGGTATAAACATTTTGGTAATCCTGCTCAGTAAATAGATAACAATCATCGAAACGTCACAATGAAACACTAATTGACTGTGAAACGATTTTTTTTTTTTATAATCCATACTACCCAACCTGAGAAAAATGTTAAGAAATAACTATTGAAACCTGTAATAGGATTTCATTAAGAGTAGAGAGTAATACTATAGAGAAATTCAACAAAACTAGTAAAAAGGGCAAATAAAACAACTTAAGAAGACAGATAGATATGCCATACACTGTGCAGATGTAACCTCTCTTCAGGAACACAGAAAGGACAGGATATCAGTTGTTCACAGTATTCTACTGAATGGATGCCATAACTGTACGACCGTTTCGTCGACATTAACAGGGACAACAGAACTAGAATAGCGATGATATACGTGACGGAGACAACAGAACTAGAATAGCGATGATATATGTGACGGAGACAACGAACTAGAATAGCGATGATATATGTGACGGAAACAACAGAACTAGAATAGCGATGATATATGTGACGGAGACAACAGAAATAGAATAGTGATGATATATATATATATATATAGTTCTGTTGTCTCCGTCACATATGTGACGGAGACAACAGAACTATAATAGCGATGATATATGTGACGGAGACAACAGAACTAGAATAACGATGATATATGTGACGGAGACAACCGAACTAGAATAGCGATGATATATGTGACGGAGACAACAGAACTAGAATAGCGATGATATACGTGACGGAGACAACAGAACTAGAATAGTGATGATATATATATATATATATATAGTTCTGTTGTCTCCGTCACATATGTGACGGAGACAACAGAACTAGAATAGCGATGTTATATTTTATTTCCCATTCTTTCAATTCGTACTGGTTGGTCGTCACGAAACCCAAAGATGTTGTTGTACTGATAAGTAATTATTTTCGTGAGTACATTTTCTCTTCCTATGAAATGCTTATTAAGAGTACTAACCATATGGTGTTATGAATAAGGTTTGTATGGGGAAAACCAGAAACTGTGTCACCCATAGGAAATATTCATCAATTAAATAGGTGACTCACCGAATATTTTTCTTAATGTTTACTCTAGGATTCCCGAGATGAATAAAATCTAGAGCTTTTCTCTAGTTTATTATATTGTATCACTGTATAACATAGCTTTGAGGTCTGACATAGTAAGCACATCGATGTTCAAACACTATCTAGACCTCATAGCCTGTAATGAAACACCAAATTACTGTTTTGCTCCAAATGAAGGTATTATTGCTAGTTGCATTTTTTCTTCTTTTTCAGAACCACATTTACTATAGTTTATAAGTTTGCATAATACTTTTATTCATATTACACTTCTGTAGACAGCGTAACGAGCAATGCTACTTCCTGCTATATGTATATATTTTTTAATCTGGGATCTACAAGACATTGTCATCGTTCCTTAGTCATTATTACTGATCTAAATAAAACTGAGTTTTGAATATTCATAAATAATATATGTCGTAACCTAAAGTCATCACACGTACACAACACAGGTGTTATTATCGATGTTTTATTCAAGTCACATATCTTTTCACACTAATTGTCTACATTTACGTTCGCTTTTCATCCAGTAAAAATCCATTCTGCTTTATCATATAACAGTGCCTAGGATACTTAAGTTACATACATCATTTTTTTCACACACACACACAAATTATATATTTTCCAAACTGGAAACACGTTTCTGAATAGACGTCTCTCAACATTGGAGTGACTTATTACATCACATTATTCATTTATTGCCCTGGTAGGTGGGATATGTTAAAGTCTGTTACATGAAAAAGTAGGTAGATATGAAAGTTTGTCTTCTGAATTGAATCATATTTCCAAAGGGGTTACCTTCCAGGGGCGTTTCTAGGATATTTGAAAGAGGGGGCGTAAAATCAAATCTTTCGCCGAGCGAAGCGAGGCTAAAAAAAAATGGACCTTTTTTGTGCTAAAAAACATAAGATAATTGTAAAATGCACTAATGTAACGGTTCCTGACTTGGACCATGTATATTTTATAGTTAAAGTGTCAGGGTTTGACATTTTTTTATGCCGAATTCTCTCCATTAATTGTCTATGGTATATCAATATGATTGGATGGATGTTAACAGCAGTAGACCAATAACGGGATTCAAAATTCAAAATTTTACGGATCACCCATCGGATGGGGGAATCAGTATAAAAAGAAATAAGAGTATGTGTTTAATTAATGAATATGATAAATTGCCATATTCAATACAATATAGGCAGATTACGATAGGTGTTTTTTTGGTTTTTTTTGAAAAGGGTGGGGGGGGGGGCGTACGCCCATTACGCACTCACCTGGACCCGCCCCGCCTTCACTAGCCTTCCTATAAATATTTCCCGTTGCAAATATAATGCACTTCAGGAGAAAAAATTAACGTCTCCCTCCCACCAAGGCATAGGGTTATCATAATACCTGGGTAAAACAATAAGTTTGTATATGTTGAAGAAGTAACATTTCTTCACAAACACAATGTGAAAGTTCGAACAGAGACATCAGCTACAGGAAAATATGATGTTTTGTCTCCTGGCCATATGATTATTAAACGTAAACGAATCAGTCACACTATGAGAAATTTGAGTCCTTTTTTCGCCTATTGTTAAAGGCTGTTGCGAATGATGTTCACAAATGATAGGGGAGATAAGCAAACCTTTCTATTCAGAAATTTCGTTCTTTACACTCATGTACTGTGCGAGTGTGTGTAAGGAACGACAACTCTGGGTAGAGATTGAAATAAACAAGCCTTATGGTCACATACTAGGTTTAATGGATTATTAACGTCATCATAACTGGATATTGCTTTCAAGCATGACCGCCTAGATATGGAAAAAAAGCTGTACAGAAATCTAAAAAAACTTACTCACTATTCAAGAACGAGTTTAAATCACGGACATACGAATCGTAATTGAACAATAAATTACTTACTACGTACCAGGTATTATTTTACCATTTGCGCATAATGCATCCATGCTGCAATACATTTTTAATATGAAACGTTCAAACGCGAAAAAAATATCTTACAATAAATCAACATTCACATTATCTGGCTTTATATCCTACAATCGAACATACTCAGATATACAAGAACCAAATACTTGTACTGCCATTATATACCCATCATTTCGTACTGTCTTATATAAGTTACAGTCTAATAATCACATAATCGAGTCTCGCATTTCTCTCTTTCTGCTGTAATCTTAACCGATGAACACATCTGGCATAGTAGGCTGCCTGCAAGCCCCATATCTAAATAGAGAAATGAAACAATAAATACATTTAGTCACAGTATCACTGCAAAGAAATAGATATTGCCTATAGCCCATTGACAATCAAGTAATTCACACACTTTAAAATGCCATCTTAAACTGAACACACTTTGTTATACAATTCAAAAGAAGTATTCACATTACAAGTCATTAAAGTTTTATGTTATATTTTGAAGTGCATTTACCATCAGCGTCAGGGTCATCTTCTTTCGTTTCGTAGTCTTCAACAGGAACAGACAGGTTCCAGTCTAGTTCAGAGTCCTTCTTGTTGAATGCTTCATGCTGCACAGGTTTCTCTGTTGTCGGTTGTATATCTTTGTTACTTTTCAGACGTTTATTATGGTCTATCTTCAGTTGTTTAATCTGATCTGTTGTTGTTTGTACATTTTGATCCGTTTCCAGTTGTACATTATGGTATATCTTCAGTTTTTTACTCTGATCTGTTGTTCTTTGTATATTTTGATCCGTTTCCGGTTGTACATTATGGTCTGTTTCCAGGTATTTAATCTGATCTGTTGTTGTTTGTACATTTTGATCCATTTCCAGTTGTACATTATAGTCTGTCCCCAGTTGTTTACTCTGGTCTGTTGTTGTTTGTACATTTTGATCCGTTTCCGGTTGAACATTATAGTCTATCCCCAGTTGTTTACTCTGGTCTGTTGTTGTTTGTACATATTGATACGTTACTGATGGAACATTATGGTCTGTTATCTGTTGATTTGACGTACGTGAAGACAATCTTCCGCACTTCCAAAGAATAAAGTCAAATTGACCTATCGGATGATAAACGAGACATGTCAAACAACTTTGTATGGGGAGGACATTATTATGTTTCTTTGCATTCTTTTGTAATTCCTACGTTCCATAAATTGTATCTTGGCTAACAGTTTATTCATTTTATCAACGTTTAGAATGTTGCATGCTTAAGTGATAATGAAGCATAAGGTTTGTAGAGAAAATGAGTTTTACAGAAAAAAATATTAATGTTTAGCATCAAATATAAAGCAAATGCTGAATAACTAGATACAGTCATATCATAGTTAAAAATGCAACAGTGCTTGAACAGATATAAACAACTGATGCTTGAGCTGACACGTGGACATATTTATATCACTCATATCGAATTACTCTTAATGCTACACCCGTGAAAAATTGGATCATTTGGTAGCGTATTATAGTGTTGGTACACCATGGTTAAAGAGACCATGCCTATATAAGTGAAAGAAAGTGTTGCTAATGTTTTACGTTAACAATGTACAAAGACCTTGTTACCAAGGAAAACAGGGATGGAATGAGTTTACAATGTACTTACACATCACATAAAGTTGAAGAAGGTCGTCATCGTCAACTCCATCGAAAGAATTTTTCACCAAGTTATGCAATGATAATAACATCGCTTCCTTTTGTCCCTCCGTCCGGTATTGTTGGTCATTTCCATCACCAGGAGAAATATCCGATATCAAGACAGTTTGTACGTGACTTTGCACTCTATCAATCCGTCGACCAGTGACTAATGATAATACTAGATAAATAACAAAACCCGCAGCGTTACACATAGTCACCATTTCTCTAGCTAATGTCCCGACTTGAAGTCAGCATGTATAAGTTCTGAGCCTGCAGCATATAACATATGATGGGTTTTCCTTTGTAACTTTCCAATGTTACATGAATAGTGAAAACATTAAAAAAGTTATGTCATCTTCAAGGCCGAATAACATAATCGGACTAGATGCAATTTGAAATGAGAAATGAGTTGTGCATTCCGTCACAGATAGGCTGTAATTGTGTAAAATATCACTCATGGGTGTAAGGTTGAGGAGACTAATTAATGTGCAGACACACACAGAATGTGCCACTACCTGTCAAAGTAATGTGAACAAACAACTGCGCCAAAGTCCTGACAACATTAATCGGAATATTAAAATATCGCATATTCTAACCCCCTTCTTATAGTACAGACAACGACACGAAATGCCATCCTCTGCTAATTATTAAGTCTTACGATACATCAGTGCACGTTTATTGGGCAAGATTTGAGAAATAACCAAGCCTTGTGGTCAACTATGAACCTCCACACTGATGCTGTGATGTGTTTTATATATTGATGGAACAAACATACATTAAAGTGATAACATTCTTATAATGTTTGTCTATATAGAAGCGGTAACTTCAGCTCAAGATTCGATCGATTTGATGTTTTTTTTTTTGTATTATTTTGTATTATATTTTTTTTTCAAAGTTTTTATTACATTAAGATCCTCACACTCATTCTCTTTCACACACAAAAAATACTGTATATGGATGTGTACATGCATCATCATCATCATTGCTACAATACTCCTCACCCACAAACAATCTGCATCCTCCTCCTCATCATCATCATCGTCATCATTATTAAAATATAGCTTCCAATGCATCAATACATCGATTTGATTTGATTTGGAAATTTAAGCTTTTTGATTTTGAAAATTTTAATATTCTAGATATCATATTATGCCATTTTACAGTATAGGACCATAGAACCCAAATTGATCGGATCTTGAGCAACTGTTTTCCAGCTTTATTGTGATGAAATGTTATAATGAATAAATATTTTTCATGAGTGTAAGGTATATCTACCTTGGATAATTTTACGCTCAAACTTTATACGGTTGTGATGACTTTAAACTGCTTAACACTTTTAATTAAAAGATTAAAATTTAATTAAAATTTGACTAGAAATCAGTGTACATCTTTCTGATTCTTACATTCTTTTAGAAAAGAATTGTGCAAATGTATTAACTATTATATACTGAATGAGGTATCAGTGGGAATTAAAACGTTCTACATAGAACAAATGTTTAAGTAGTATTATATACCGAGATTATGGTCTTAAAATAGCCCTAAGTATTACCCAATTAGGTTAACCTCTTGTATAATCTTGAGTTATGTGAAACAAGTTTTACGACCATGAACAATTAGAGAAAAGAGTATAAGTAATTACTAGTTTTCGATAAAGTTCATGCAAAATTCATTTGAGTGAAAAAACGTGAATGAAAGTTTTTACGGTCCTTTTTGTTATGGAATACAAATGGGATAATCTGTCGTGTTATTGGCTCTTACTTTTCAATACCTATTACAGAAGGCATGCGCCACGAGAAGGAAATGGAAGAGAACAACACTTTAATGAGAAACCATTAGGGTTACGGATGCATATATTTTTCCACTTAAATTTTCATGGGTTCCTGTTTGGAAATCCTTTGATGTGTCATTATAACATTGTGTAAAAGCATGATGGAGAAAACATTTCAATCCTTGTCCTTTTTACAACTTATATCTATAGAAAAGTGTTGGCTGGTTTTTAGCTTTTTATTACAGGAAGTGATGGCATACATTATACAGTAGCTAATATGTTATGTACTTTAGTTGGCTGTCCTAGCTTTTTGCTATTTCACAAACTCAGTGTTACTTAGAAAGTAAATACCACGACTCAAAAGTTGATCAGTTATGTGATATGTTTGTCATTAAAATGTAGATATGCATTATTGTGAAGAAAGAAAAACAATTTCTGTTGTAATTCGTTTCGATGTTTAATCGTAGAATGACTGGTCCAAAATGACCCTATTTGCCCTATACTAAGGTTATCTGACATGACCGATTGCTTTAATAAGATATACTAAGGAATTCCATTTACACAGGTACATATGTAACTATAGACTATCGCATGGTATGCCGTTATTACGTGCACGCCCATGCACTTGCATTTTATAGGGATCCTGATATTTTACAAACCACTATTTTCACAGAGTATTGTAATTGCATTTGTGAACCGATTTATCTGACAGAGCATAACTCGCTGCTCGACAACAAAAGTCGTAGCGGCCAAGAGCTTGTGAACTACTGTTAGCACGTGATACGTACAGGTGAGGTCGGTAAACAAAACACATCAGTCTGCTTTCCATGCGCCTCATATATATACGACCTTCTGATCGTATGTCAGTGTTTTCCTGTGAGTTAATTAATATCTTTGTATCATAAGCTTTATTTCTGAAGTACGTGTAATTGCACATGATTTCCAAGTTATTAGTAAGTCTCGATATCGGGTGTTGACATATCATCGTCACGCACGTGTACTTTTGTTTACCCGGTGTTACTATAATTTACACTACGGTAATGGAATGCCCGATACGCAATACGGAAATGTCGACACGAAAATATGACAAGAAAAACATGTGTGTTACGAAGGGTGGAAAGTCCTTAAGTCTTCCTCATGTTGTCGTCATCGTTCAACAAAAAGTAATAGACATGCTATAATATTAAGGTTCACTTTCCTGTATGTGTGTGTGAAATCAGAGTAAGATGAATAGCACACGTTTTACCCATCAGGGACAAGTCATATCTATAAATAGCAGCAGGATATAGCCTTGTTCCCGGAGATGCACTGTGCATATATTACATTATTTTAACTATGCATATGAAACAAGGCATGTTTGCTTTATACAGGGGGTATGACTAACCAAGACAATAATTCATAAAATGTCTGTCAACTTTTGATATCAATGGATATCTAAGGTCTTATTCCTAATAAAATGCTCGAAATTCTTTTCCATCTCACGCTCAAACTGTTAAATATAACTAAATTCATTTAATTGGTTGAAGATTGGGGTATCTTTGACCAATTTCAAATGGAAAATATTATCATTTCTGTTCATTTCATTAACATTACGCATAAAAAAGTGTATAATTATATCATATGAACAAATTGACCCTATTTGTGTATCATTTGCTTAATGCACAGTTTTTGTGTTAATGTTAGAGTATATTGATATCAAATTACTATTGAAGTTTTTTTCTATTCTGAAAAAGAGACCCATTGACCATCGTTCTCGGTGTTAAAGCAGATAAAGAGTACTAGAGGGGGAATTTAGATTTCTGAAAAGTTTTAATACCCATCAACCTTACAATAATTGCCAATAAAACCAATTTCTTCTTACTTACACTTTTTAAATTGTATTGCCCTACTTATTTACCTTATTTTGAGAAAATAAAACTATGTCCGATCATCCAGTTGCATCAGAATGTTTGACTCGGATAACACAACAGAGTTATGTTGTACCCATTAATAGATAGAAATTTGACAAAGAAAAATTAAAAGCAAGAAGCACTTTTATTCCGATATCTATGAAACACCTTGTTGAGTTCCGTCGACTGACTTGCTCTGCTTGTTACAGTATATATATAGTGCAATGTATTTATAACTGCTGAGACTAGTTATAAGAAATAATCCTTCGACTCATAATACTTGAAGAATGATACACATGGTGTATTGGTATGTACACTGATTCATATAAGATTTGTAAGAACATCCAAAGTCAAAAGCAATTCCATATTCCAGTACTGTTCATCCACAGATTCAACTCACAATCCTTATTTTGCAAGATAATTGGTTGCAACGAAGAGCGCTAATATGAAAGCAGTTGACTTCAAATTAAAAAGCAAGTTATGAGGAAAGAAGAGGTCGATGATCAGTACTAATGGCATCTAAAATGGCTGGTCTAAATGAGGAGGTTGTTTGAGTACACGGACTTGAACAATATCGAAGGCAGCATATACTTCTTTGAGCATTGTCCTGGAGCCGTAAACAACTAGCGCAAAGCAGATCGGATACTATTATTATAATCCCATCCTTGCTTTTATTGCCTGTAAAAGAAAACATTTTATAATTATGACATGACGATAGTACAAAACAGCAAACGCTTGTATAACAAAACTAGTATATCTGATCAGGATAATCTGGCTCACAATCCAGAAGCTTATATGAAAATCTTGCAGATATTATTCAAAATTAAAAGAAATAGTTTGTTTGATGTGCGAACATGGACATTTATTTAAAACCTTCATTTGATACAGTGTTTATCTTTTTATAACAAAATTAAAAGTCAGTATTTACTAAGTACGCTATATTCAATCATTTTCATACACGTTGTTGCATAATGGGTGTTAAACTTAATGATATTTTGAAACAAAAATTGTTTCAATTGATATTTGTTAATGATTTTCTTTCAAAAACGCATAATATAATATTATGACTCAAAATATTCCCCCGGAGTAAAATACACAACATATGTAAATATTACTACACATATACATAGTTCTACACAAAATGCTTTACATTTTTCTACACATGTATATACTCCTCAACATAAACAAAGTTCTACACATATACATACTCCTCAAAATAACATAGTTCTACAAAAAGTGTAATACATATTTCTACACATACATATAGTTCTAGAGACAATAATTACATGAAACTTTGAAGTACTGACGACACAATATGTCACTCAATTTTCGTCTGTGAAGCTTAAAGCAATCTACTATCTATTTTAGATTACATGTTATTAGACATTATACAACTTACTGAATCATATTAGAGATAAGTCTGATTAAATCTACTGTTCCATGTACAAATGAAGTTAACTCAACGTATCATATCCTGTTATAGCTAAATTGTTGTTGCTGAATGCAAGTATAATAGAACCCATGGGTTCCTTTTAAAGCAAAGTCTTATTCTTGTTATTAGACCATGTTAAATATAACCTGGTTCACTCCAATGCGTCTTATTAATGCTAGGCTTGATACAAGTACTGAATGAATCCCAATTAAAAAAAACTACAGGATAGTGCTAAAACGGGAAGCAACATACTTGACCCGTTTGAAGAGAATCGTGATACAATCTACTGATTCCTGTTGAATGCAAATTTGACATGACCTTCTTAATTATGTCACTAGATCAACGTTACACATACACAGGGCAATGAACCT